ATATTGACCATAATTAACAAAAGCATTTTCTACTCTTGTTTCTTTTTCTTTTTTTTTTGTTTTTATTTTCTTTGCTTATAGAATAGACCTTCTATGACTTTGTAAGTACGTACTAGTTTTGTTTTTGTTTTCAAATCGATGGCCTTTGCATTTAGCAGTTAACTGAGGCCATTTTAGCTCATGGATTACAAATTTGCATGTCAATTCAGTCAATAGAACATGCTTATTAGCTAAGTGCAGAAAGAAAAAGAAAAAGAAAAGTTACGTTTTCATCAGTTTATATGTAGCAGTAAAAGTAGCCACCTTAAGAAAAACATACTAGTTATGCCCATAAATGTGTCGTTGATCATTACATTTCTTCACTTTCAACTTTCCATTTTGATGACTTTTCATGTTTCTTTCATTAGTTTTATTTTGGAAACTTAAATGTAGTAATTGACATTTGATCGTTTGGTCACATATTAGTCTTGATCACCCGACAACTTGTGAGTGAATAACAGACATTTAAGTATTCCTTTCTTCATTTTGATTTATTTTAATTATAAAACCTCAGAGAATTTTTATTTCCATGATAACCTAAAATTTCTCAACTCTTATCCTTAAAACATTCTTAAATAAGTGCTAGCCTGACAAAAGAACCTCCGTAGAAAGAGTTTTAAGTGACATGATCTAACGGTGTAAAATATGTTACTAGCAAATTTTTATGTTGAAAAAAAAAATCTTTATGATAATCATCAATTAGGACATGGTAAAAAATCTTAAATACTTATGTATTAAACAAAGAATTCCTAATTAATAAGGCATCGTATGTATTGGTGTTTGATGCTGGACATTGATTTTCCTTTTTTTTCTAAATTAAGGTGACGAAGGTTTTGCCTGGTGCCCTACCTTCTAAATTAAAATAATGATTACCCATTCATACATTCGAATACTCATGAAATTAAATATTTTTATTATTTATTGGCTGAATACATACAGAGACACTTAAAGTTGGCACGATTTTTCATTTAGACACCTAAACTCAAGGGTGTTTCTATTGAGTACTTATACTACCCGAAACTTATTCCGATTAAGCACTTCTTGCTGAGTTGACACATAAAGTAAGTTTCAACCAATATAGGCGCGTGAAGACCCAAAAAAAATAATTTTTTTTTTTATTTCCTTCTTCTTCTCCCTCAAAAACAAAACAGATCTGAGGCAGTCCCCATCTCTTCACTACCGAAATCCGGCGAGAGAAACCGGCGGCCTCATCCTCTCCAAAAAACCAATGATCCCCCTCTTCTTCTTCAATCCTAAGAAACCAGCTGCACCCCATCTCCTCATCTCCAACCGTCGCCGCAACAACCCAGGCTGCTCTAAGAGATTTTCGGCCACCACGCTGCCGCTCGGCTTCATCGCCGACGGCTAGCGACCCATTTCCAAGACCATAGCCGCCAGAACTCCAACCCAGCCCAGAAAGAGAAAAGCAACAAGTGTTGAACCTAAGCAACCAAATCGAATCCTTTTATTCACTGATTCTGCTGTAAACCAAATAGCAACTAAGAATGATTATTTACGTTCAAAATACAGCTAAGGTATATTATACAGCTAAGAAGCACTACAATTCTTATTAGGTGGCGTTTGGCTGGCTTAATTTTTATAGAAAAAATAATTATGCACGTATTGTTTTCTCCAAAATACAGGAACCGTCGTTTTTATTCTAATGGGATCGGAAAAAGAAACAGAGCAAAGCAGAGGAAGAAGAAGAGAGTAAAACTGAAATGAGTCCGAGTTCTTCATTTCAAATTGAAACACCATTAATGGGGTCTTTAAAAAGCTTGAAGGTTTAAAATGGGTTACTTGATTTTTTGAAAGTTTGGGAAATTAATATAGAGGTTGTCTTCGAGTCGTCGTGGGATATCTTTAGCTGAAGTTATAATAAATTTGGAGGAGTTTCTCTTAAAATTTTGGATAAAAATTGTGCTTGGAACAAGAACACACATGAAAATAGTGAAGAACACACATGAACATATAGTGAAGATGCGAAGTTAAGTAGTGTTTTTAGGTTTTTTCCTTTTTTTTTTTACTCAAAATAATATATGTCCTTTTTTTATTCATCATTCGTCACGTCAGCAGCGAGTGCATTGCAGAAGCTTTGTAAGTTTGGCTGATTGTCAAAGAAGTGCTTAATTGGAATAAATTTCAGGTAGTATAAGTGCTCAATAGGAACACCCTTGAATTTAAATGTTTAAATGAAAAATCGTGTCAACTTTAAGTGTCTCCGTATGTATTCATCCTTATTTTAAACCTCAATGAATATAGACAGAATTTGTTTAGATTTAACTAACTGTTTTATTCTTCACAACGTCTTCTTCAATATACAGATCAGCTTTGGTCCTCACTCCTCAGGTGATAACATAATAAACAACAAGACGAAATGGATTCATAAACAACAGCATTTAAGCTTTTAGTGGCTCAGAGAAAATAATTTTAAACATGCATCTCAATGATGGTTTATATATAAAAATCGTAAAACAAAGGTCAAAGTCAACTAATCCATTACTACTCAATCCCAAATTAGTTGGTTATATGGATATTCTATATTAATTTCGCTCTTTTTAGGAGTACATATTATGTGTAGATTGTAACATCGGCATAATTAGAAACTATTTGTACATAAACAATCAATTTAACACAATTCTCTTCTCTTTCTTTTGGTTTTTTTGAGCTTAGGATCGATGATGATTTGCATGCAATGCTAACAGAATTGGCGGAGATATATTAGGGTGCAAAAGTAAGAATGAAATAAAGAGAAAACAAACGTTTATCTGTTTTGGCCAAATACAAGAATCAGAAGCATTAATACTTTATCACAATTCAAGCTAGTTCTCTATAACATATATCTTAGAATTTTTTTCTCTTTAAAATGTATTTACACAAACCAAGAAAGTGCAGAGATTCGAACAATTAAAAGCTAGGGTGTAATCACCATCAGTTAGAGACGCATTAAGTGGCATGCCCCTTGCCAGGATTTGGGATAGATGTACCTTTGATTGTAGCCATTTTAAGCATGTCATCGTTTCTTTAACCAACTCGTTTACCACTATATTAGGTACTTTTACAATTTTGTCCATCAAATTTATAAAACGTGCATGATTTTCTAGCCATACGAGGCTATGATTAGAAAATCATACACATTTTTCAATTTTGACTGATAAGATTGTGAAGGCACCAAATATAGTGGTGAACTCGTTGGCAACAGAAGTTGAGGCATGCTTGAAATGCCTACAGTCGGAGGTAACTCCTAAGCCTAATCCTAGAGGGGACATGCCACTGACTGCGCCATTAACTATTGGTGATATAGAGCAATTCCATTCAATATTTTCTTCGGCAATCTCATGCCTAATCTTGAAGGCATTTTGGGGTTGAAGTTTTTGGTTTTTTATGAAGGTTATAGGCTTGAGGCAATTTTTGGGAAAATTTGTATGTCTCGCAGTTTTAAACCATTTATGAGACATAAAAACTTTTTTTTTTAAATGAAATATGATCTCCAAAATGGAAGAAATATATATAGAGATGAAGTAGAAAATGCAATTGTGAGATGAAAACAAACGAACAAAGAGGGATTTTTATAGTTGTTCTGAGGGAACATGGCAGAGTTAGAAAGAATCCAAAAAATTATGAAATATGGGAAACTTATAAATACCTTTCTATATTGTTTTACAATTAGATTTCAGAATTCAAAATTACACCTAACTTAACTTAAAAACCTACCAAAACATCAATTTAATTTAGATAGCATGGCTAAATTATTTCATTTTTCAATTTGTCCAGTCAAAGATGTGTAAACCTTAAAGTTATTTCCATATCTGTATTTGCATTCATTTGATAACAAATCCTAAATTTCTAGTCTACAATGATTAAATTTTTTGACTCACTATTTCAGTTAAGATGATCATCATTTCGTTGACGAATGAACTATATAATCTTTTGTTTTTAGTTCTTTTATAATTATTTATAGAGTATTCCATGACTTTGTAATTACTAATCTTGTGTTTGTTTTCAAGTCGTGGGACTTTGCATTTAATAGTTAAGCCGAGACCATTTTAGCTCATGGATTATAAATTTTCAAGCCATGCCTATTAGTTAAGTAAAAAAGAAGAAAAGAAGAGTTACATTTCCGTCTTATATGTTAAATTTTCTTAACATTTGATCATGCGATCACATATTAGTCTTTGATTAACAACAGCTTGCCAGTGAATAACAGACATTTAAGTATCATAAAATCTTCATTTTGATTTATTTTAATTATGAAACCTCATTGAATTTTCGCCTATTGTTGAATTAGGTAACCAATAACTTGTGGCCAAGGATGTAATAAAGAATCTGTAGTTCGAAATGACAAACATTTCATATATTTAAACATTCAGCTGTGTTATTAAAAGGGTGTTTGGCTAAGCTTATAAGCTGGTCAAATTGGTTTATAAGTATATTTTAGCTTATCTATGCGTTTGGTAAACACTCAAAGTGCTTATAAGCTAAATTCAGTCATAAGCTAGTTACCCCAACTTATGACTTTTCAGCTTATAAGCATTTTTAGTTTGACCAACACTTTTACTAGTTTATCCTTAATAATAATTTTTTAATTCAAAAAATATTTTTTCGAAAATAAATTTCTTGACCTTCTTTTCATTCCATATTCGTTGTCAATTCTTTTCTTTACAAAGAAATTTTTAATTTATAATCTTCGAGAAAACGTCAAGGGTAATTTAGTCATTGTAACAAAAGATTAGCTTATCAGCACTTTTTAATCAAACACATCAACTGCTTATTATCAGTTTCAGCATTTCTATCCAAACACGTAAATGCTTATTTTAAAAATCAGTTTCAGCACTTAAAAGAACTTTTCAGCACTTCAAGCTTATCAGCAATTTACAATAAGTTAATCCAAATGGGCTCTAAAAGCAACAAATCATACATTAATGGAACAAGAACTGCCAAACCTTAGAAAAGAAACCATTATCATAAAATGATGTCTAATGGGATAAAAGATGGTTGATTTGTCCTTCCAAATAAAACTTGGATACAGCTACCTAATTAAGAATATGTACACCAGAATATTTATCTTAATATCAAACAACAGCGCCTCAAATCCCAAACGAGTTGGAATCAGCTAGTTAATATACAACACCAGATTAATTAATCCCATGATTGTTGATGATCTACCCTGTAAACCCTTCACTAAAACAAACGACAACTCCTACATTCCTGCTGGCTAAAAAAAAAAAATAAGTGATCTATGGCTAGTAACAAAGAATCTGAATCGCCAGACGCTGGGCTCAGCTTTAGATCCATTTTCCAGAAGAAAATCCGGTTTTCTTTGGAGGAACTTTCAAGCCAAGTTCTTTACATTGCTCTTCATCAGGTTGCGAGCTCAGAAATCCTGTCCCAACGAAGTGTACCAAGGCTGATGCATCCTCGAGTTTTCTTGTTAAACTCAATGATGCCAAGGAAAGAGGAGCTGAAGTAGTCTTTGATTGCGTCTTTGTTGGCACAGTATCCAGCTCTGCTGCTCTAAGAAAGCGCTCGGTTGCTGCTTCCCAAGAAAGCTCATGCCTTTGTGTATCAGCCAAGGGAGCAGGCTCATCAGCCAATGCCTTGAGTATAGCTTTAACGAATCCATCACCATCATCATATGTTCGGCAATTTGGGAACTGCATGAAGAATTCATTTGACGGATGGTTGGCACATACAACAATTTTGCCCATAGCTAATGCTTCAGCCGAGGTTGTACAAACTACATCTGTGGTACTTGGATTAAGCAGCACCTTATAGCTGAAACCAAAAAAGGGAAAAAGAACATCAATTGAGAGAATGGCAAAATGAAGCCCCCTACTATAATAAGTACCCGAACTCTTAACACTTGCACAACAAATCACATTACGTTTAACACAAAATCCCAAAAATCTAAAAACCAAAGGAAACAAAATCTATTGACCAATGATTTTAGCATGATTCATATTCACCAGAAAGAGTTTGTGGATGAAAGTCAGTTTGAAAGTGAATGCCTGCGGTACCAAGTCTTAAAATAGGTCATCTTCCAAAATATCAATTAAAAAAAGGGAGGAAGTTCTAACATATGTTTCAAACAACATTTGAAAGATCCTATAGTAAAAAGCGCCTAGGCCCAAATTAATCTTCAAGATGAAAAAGTATCTTTTTTTAATAAGAAAAGATGAAAAAGTTGTTAACGTATATCCAACTGTCAAAAACTATGATCTAAATAATCTTCATCTCAGATGTGGATAGACCGGCCACATTTCTGTCTCCCTCCACATTTCTCAATATATTTGGAGAGAAGAAATAAAAGCTTCAGTAATAACAAGTTCGATCATTATTGATAAAAACAAAAGCGAGGAGAGGAGGCTGATGGCTATAGGATAAAGAAAAGATAACAAATATGGTTAAATTTGAGATAGTATCAACAAGGAGTATGCCTTAATTCATCAGTTTGTCAAGCTAGAGAGGTTCCTCTAGGTGGCTCTCAAATTTAGGCATTTTAAAATTTTTATCTTCAATACCTTAGAAACACAAGGAATACTAACTTGAGAAATATGATAGCAAGATGCGGATTCTAGTTAGATATACATAGATTCATTTTCTTAGCACACAAACTCATTGGACACTGAAAATGAAGATGCAGTCTCAAAGAAACATGAGAAAGAAGAAGTTCAAAAAAGCACTAGGATCTTGAAAGCTACTTTGATTTCAAGCTTCCTACAAACTGAGTTGGCTTTCTTTTTCTCTCTTAAGTTGGTTTTTTCTATGTTTCCATTTTCTTATATTCATTAGCTTTTCTGAATTTCCAGATTACGGATCTTGTACTAGCAAAAATTTCATTTTTAACCAAGTCAACGATACTGGTAAATTGAGGAGTGCTTTTAGATTGCTGTATTTATTATAATAACCTAAAAAAGATTGCCGTATTTATTCTGCTTGCTAGCTCTAGACGGCAATATAAATGAGGAAACTTGATCATGATGCTTCTGAATCATTAATATCAAAAAATTGTATAGTTTGCAGCATCTATGCTATGTAATATTTATTCATTAAAATTAGGGTTAAAGTTATCGATGGTTTAAAGCAGTTGTGACCTCTGTTTAGCTTTCCTCCTTTCTCATTTAACTTTTTGCAATTATCAGCCCTAAATATTTGCAGTGTCGAAAACTTCCATTTCCTCTCAACTTTTAGGCCACTGTTCTTTCGCACCCGAAAAATTAAGGTGGCAGAGGAGCTTGAATCAATCAGAGATTACTGTTCAAAATAATGTGTTTATGAGTATCCAAAACAGCCCACTTCTTCTCCAGTTATGAACTCCACCTACTTCGAACCCTTTAAGCTCGAGTCTTGTTCAATAATTAACGCAATGCACCAGAAAATAAAACCCAAATATCCTTTCTGAAAAGTTATCCAGCACTTCACTTTGTCTGTACAACAACAACAATATACCCGGTATATTCCCACATGTGGGGCCTGGGGAGGGTAGCGTGTACGCAGACCTTGCCCCTACCCAGTGAAGGTTAGCACTTCACTTTGTCTATAAAGGAAGTAATTATAAGGAGATAGTAAATCAGTCAAAGCTGGAATGACAAGAAGCATGAAGCCTACAGTTATAGTAGTAACAACTGACAACTTCTATCATCGTCTTCTTCCATTACTTCTACATGAAAGTGGACCATGCTGTTTCAACTACATTGTTTTGACAACGACAGGAATGATTGGTAGAGAACACTAGCAATCAGCGATTACTAGATCACTTTCATACACAAAATATTCCATAGCCTATCTACCAAATATGTTAACTAACATGGATTGCAATACTATTTTTTAACTATTTGTTTTATCCTTCTTTTAGATTCTCTATTTTGGCAGAACACTGTTAATCAAAGGGATGGAGGAAAAAATAGATGCTTACAGAATTTTTATTTTTGGTGTAATAATAGTTTGTTGGAGGATATGAAATTTATGTTTGAAGGTTCGAAATGTATGAATCTGAAGATGTAGCTATAAATCTGTAATTACCCTCTTGTTATTTTGATAGACCTCTTTGATCGAAAAATATAGTCAAAACGGATGGAAAAAAGAAAACCGAAATCAACAAAATGTTAAGTCCGCAAATCCTCTCTAATGGAGTATGTAGGCTTCTCTTTGCAGCCAGCAAACTGGATCAGGCATGATAAACTACGTTCTAGGAACAGCAGATACATATGCATTCCCACCCACCCAACTCCCTGTGACAATATTCCCAATCCAGAATAAATGACATATATAACAAGAGTGGGCAAACAGTTTAACAGTAGAAAACAGTTGGCTCTTACTCGTGAAATGAAGGATCTGCATGATCACGTCCGGGATGAGACCTAACTGCTAATTCCAACTTCTTAGCCTCCACATCAATCTGAGCAGAATCCTCACCACTACCATATAAATCAATCTCAAATCCCGGAAGTTCCTTTTGATGATCACGTAAAAGATCAAGTAGCTCTTTGTACCCTTTGTTCCACAACTTCTTACCAATGTAATAGACACCTTTGCTGAAAGCTTGGCTGCCAATTTGCTGCTTCTCTCTTGTTTTCAGCCCAATCTCAAGGAACTTTGGATTAACTCCATGCACATTGCAGACCACAGATCTTGGTAGATCCTGGGTTGCAGCGGATAGCCGAATGACCTGCCAATCCAAGCAAGTAACTTTTATAGATCAAGGTATTACGCACAAAGTACCAAAAGTCATGGTAATAATTATACTACAACCAATCGGTCCAACCAAGCGATCATCAATTCCTATATTACAACCAACCGGATGACCTGAGCGTGCCTAGCATGCAAAATAGACTGCTCAGTTTTCAACTTTTGAGCATTATAGTTTTTGAGATGGAATATGCAAGCATGTTTCTGCAACAGCTGTTCAAACTTAACAAAGAAACATCAGTACATTAAAGTGTCAAATGTCAAAGAGTTACTTTCAACCTAGGTTAGCTATTAATAATTCATACCAACCCCCCCCCCCCCCCCNACTGAATAGAAGTATTTTACCTTGTGGCAATAGATATCAACTACCCAACCATTGATGTACTTTATTAGAAGTGCTACCAATATGTTCCTCTCTCTCTTGACAATCTCCCAATAATTGGTGTGAACAATTCCTACAACCATGCGAAATTTTTCTTTCCATCTCTTCCCATGATGATACCATGTAAGATGCTCGGGCTCCTCAAGGACAGCGATATCTGCTTCATCATCTGGGATAACTACTGTAATATCCCCCAAAGCAAGAATGCTCCTTAGATCTAGAGAAAACTGCAATTCGGAAGGCAACACTTTATTTCTGATAGAGTACCCCAGAAGCATATCAATTGAGACAAAATTAAAGTACTAATAAACAAAAAGAAGCTGCCGACTACTTTTGCATCATGAGAGGAATGGCCCTCCAAGAGTTTATATCACAATCTTATCATTGATGAACTGGCAATAATTCTAGAAGAAGATCAAAAGGAAGATCTGTAATTCCCTTGTCCTGACAGTTATTGTTATTGCACTTTAGATGTGAATCATGTGTTATTAACAGATTTCATGTTTACTATTCCATGAAGAGAAGGGGAAAATGTATAATCCGTAGTTGGAAGAGCTCGAGAACAATTTTTATAGGAGAGAAATTATTATTTGCTTTCAACAACTAAGGAAATGAAGGAAAAATTGTTATTTTGAGGCATAGACAAAACTATATAAGGAAAAGATATGACAATCTAAATGCAAGGAGAGCAGCTTCCCTCCCCACACTCTAGATCAACCTGGTAAGGACTAACAAGGGAAAGAAGATCAGTAACTCATATATATAAAAAAAGAAAAAGCATTCATGATTATTTGGTTGACTTTCACAAACAAAGCAAAGCAAACATCAATAGTCTTCGATGAACAATTTTAAGCATACATGGTCCCGATATTTGATTCAGAAGAATATATCTTCACCAGTTGAAGTATGTAACTGGATATGCTCCCACAAATCTAATAGACTGGAGTTTTCAGTGTAATAAAATTAGACAAATTCTCATTCATATTTCAGATTTTGAGTTACCTTTCCAGGATAAAAACGTATACTAAAATTCGATGCAAACCCAGTCCTCTCTTCCACCCATTGGCGGACATACTTTTCCTGCTCCAAGTGTGAATTAAACGTGATATTGTTGGGAAACAAGTGTTCCTGATCTATCAACGGCAGCCAGGGAACGACCAAAGTGACCTTCATCGCACCATCTTTTGCAAGATAGGCCGCACGAAACAGAGGATTAACAGCAGTTCCAGTTAGCCATGGGATGCTTGCAGTAGTGAAGATGGCAATGTGCTGTTTCTTGTCCATTTAAGGATGTCAACTCAATTTATTTGCAGCTGTTTTAACATACCAATCAATGTCAGGAAACGCCACCTTCGCACACTAAATTGGAAGCTATTTATGAATTCCATGAAATGCATATAGACTTATAACGTGTTTTCAAATAGAAGTTGTTGTTTGATGGACAAAAATACTAAGCTCTAGATCACTATCAGAAACCAAAGACTGATAAATAAAGATTTAATTAAGCAAAGCAAGTTAAGAAAAAGGAAAATGGTGGTGCAAGAGACTAAAAAACTAACCATTAAACTTCTATTCCATTTTACCTTCCTGGTAATTATACAATCTACTGGAACATGCAGTTATATACTCCAGGAACAAACATCTTAGATCCTAACACTACTTTTCAAGCACAACTTGACATATTTGGTAAAAACAAATTCATAACAGAAACAAATTGAGTAAAATTAAAGACTTGACATAACACGCGAACACCCATTTCCAGCAACTAAATTTACTCTTTTTGCAGGAAAAAAATGCACAAATTTCAACCAATCTGAATAAAGGGGGCTGAAAAATAGCACTAATAACTGAATCTTAATAAGTAAAAATGGAAAGAAAAACAAAGAACTGAAGAAATAGACAAAAGTCATACCAGATTACAACCTTGTACGTTGTTGAGTACGCTAAAACACTGACAAAGATTTAGAAGCGGAGTTTAAGACAAGGTATCTTGAGTTGATTACCTGAATTTTCTCAAACGCCAAGTTTGAAAATTCCACAGGTTTAGGCAACTTTCTTGAAGAAGAAGAATTAGTGTTTTTTAGGCAAATGGAATAATTAATTAAAACTCATACAAGGGAATAATAATAAGATAATGATGGTAATAATAGTGGATTAAAAAGCTACTAGAATGGGCTGGAAAATAGGTTGAAAAGCAAAGCAGCGGCATATAAGGAAACTACTTGAACAAGTACAAGTTTGTGTTAGTTTTTTACTTACCGTTGAAAAAAGAACAGACAGACAAGTTTGCTCGCGTATAAACACTTGATTGGTTGGTTGGTTTGCTGACGAGGTTTTAGAACGCTTCATTGGCACAACCAAATACCAGAACTGTTTGTGGGCCCCAATGAGTTGCTGGATTCATCCCTAGCACGTGCTGGATTCTGTTTCTTAGTTGGCAAAAGTCCAAATTTGCCCCCAAGTTTGAAATATATCATCTTGTTATAAATATATTATATTATGCTTGTTCATTTAGTACGTCGTTGTAAATAAGTTTCTTGAAGAAGCTTATCCATATGGGACTACTCGGTAAATATATTTATCTATTTAGTATTCTATTGGAAATAAGACTCCTGAAGAAGCTTATTACTTCATTACTCAATTATGGATAAACATTATCCCCAGTAGAAGATTATCCATACCGGGTACAATAAGTTTATCCTTTCGATACTCCATTATGGATAAACATTACCCCCAGTAGAAGATTATCCATACCTGGTATAATAAGTTTATCCTTTTCGGTACTCCGTTATAGATAAGTATTACCACCGGTAGAAGATTATCTATACCTGGTACAATAAGCTTATCCTTTCGGTACTCTGTTATGGATAAACATTACCTCTGATAGAAGATTATCCATACCTGGTACAGTAGCAGCTTACACAGCAGCTTGCAGTAGCAGCTTATACAGCAATTTCATTTCTTCTATAAATATAGGAGATTTCAATTCAGTATGTACATGTGTTTGAAGTTGAATAATATATCAGTTTCTCTCTATACTTGTCCTTACTTTACAGTCTTTATTTTATAACACGTTACCAGTACGAGACTCTGCTATCTCGAGCAAATACTTTGAAAGTATCAGAGCTACGAACTTTATTTTTCTAAATAATGTCAAATCTTTCTAAACTTGAATTTGTAGCCGTGGATATATCGAGCAAAAGCTACATGTCTTGGGTGCTTGATGCTGAAATTCATCTTGATGCGATGGGTCTGGCAGACACCATCAAGGACAAAAATCAGGCATCAAATCAAGAACGTGCCATAGCAATGATATTCATATGTCATCACCTTGATGAGGGCCTGAAAATGGAGTATCTTACTGTTAAAGATCAAATCATACTATGGAATAATTTGAAAGATAGATATGACCACCTGAAGATCGTCGTTCTTCCACAGGCATGATATGATTGGACTCATTTAAGGCTACAAGATTTTAAATCTATCAGTGAGTATAATTCTGTTACGTTCAGAATTATTTCCCAATTGAAATTATGTGGTGATAATATTACTGATCATGATATGTTGGAGAAAACTTTCACCACTTTTCATGCCTCGAATATGCTCCTGCAGCAGCAATATCGAGAGATGGGATTCAAAAAGTATTCTGAACTTATCTCACATTTTCTTGTAGTCGAGCAACATAATGGGCTATTAATGAAAAGCCATGAAAACCGACCTACTGGTTCTTGTCCATTCCCTGAAGTGAATGAGACGAACTTCTATCAAGCTAAGCGTGAAAGAGGTCGTGACCCCAGTCGTGGTCATGTCTGTGGTCGGGGAAGAAACTCTAATCATGGTAATAATAATGTACCAAAGAACCCTCCTCACCACCAGCAGTGGAAAAGGAAGGAACAAAAGCATGAAGCGGTGCAAGCAACAAATGCAGAAAATGCATGCTATAGATGTGGAGGAAAAGGGCACTGGTCACGTACCTATCGTACGCCAAAGCACCTGGTTGAGTTTTATCAAGCCTCCCTAAAGAAGACAGAGAACAATGTTGAAGCACTTGCTTGAGCTTTATCAAGCCTCCCTAAAGAAGACAGAGAAAAATGCTGAAGCAAATTTTATTTCTGAAGATGATTTTGACTTCATGCATTTAGATGTAGCTGATTACTTTGCACTCCCGGAAGGAGAAACAAGCCATGTGATCGGTGATGAATCTGTAGAAATGTAAATATTTTAATTATTGTTGTTTGTAGTAGCTAGTATGGTTATGTAATTGTTGTACATATATAAAAGTTATGCTTTGATAATATAATGATGTTTCCTATCATATTTACTTTGTTTATGTCATTTTGAAAAATATAGATAATCCTCAAATTATGTTTGGATCAAAGACCAATCATGAAGATATTTGTGTAATTGATAGTAGAACAACTCATGTCATATTCAAAGATGAAAAATACTTTTCTTATTTGCATAAGGAAAAAGCAAATATTTCAATGATCTCTGGTAATATAAGTTTGATTGAAGGCTCCAGAATAGCCACTATATTTCTGTCTAAGAGAACAAAACTTATTATAAACAGTGCATTATTCACTGGATATGGCGAGGATTCCGATCTCCAAGGAAATGACACTATATGAAGCTGTGGAGGTCGAGCATTAAGGTTGTAGGTTAGGAGGTAGTTGAGCATATTTAATCTACCAGTGTGAGGCTAGGTTGATAGGATTTAGTCTTAGACTGCTAGTGGTCAGTATTGTGTTTACACTACTCTTCCATTTTCACAGTCTCGAGCCTTATTTACTGGTTATTATTTCTGTTTTCCATCTATTTACTGGTTCTTGTGATGTTTTTATTATTTCTATGGGTTTTATTGATGGTACTGATATATTTTCTCTTTTCATCTTTTTGTCTTCTTAAGCCAAGGGTCTTTCGAAAATAGCCTCTTTACCCCCATCAGGGTAGAGGTAATTTGTGTATACACTATCCTCCCCATACCCCACTTGTGGGATTTTACTGGGTCATTTTGGTTGTTGTTGTATTATTCTCCTCCAAGTCCAGAAAAAACTTGTTAAGTTTTATAGATATCCGTCGAAACGAGTATCACGTTGAGACGAAGATGAAATGAATATGGAATATCTTTGTATTACGAAGAATGTTTTTGGCCAGAAGTGCATTGTAGAAAAGTTACCAACTTTATCTTCTAGCTTATACTTTCAAAGATTAGTGCAGTTGAAACACACTTTATCGTAAACTAGAAGTTTCCTGATTCAAATATTTTTGTACTTTGGCATGGCCGTTTGGGCCATCCTGGATCAATAATGATGAGACGAATTACTGAAATTCGAGTGGGCATCCATTAAAGAACCTAAAGATTCTTACAAATGATGAATTCTCTTGTGATGCTTTTTATTAAGGCAAAACAATCACTAGACCATCACCAATGAAAGTTGGCATTGAATCCCTCGCCTTTTTAGAGCGTATAAATGTGGAAATATGTGGACCTATTCACCTACCAAGTAGGTTGTTTAGATATTTTATAGTCCTAATAAATGCATCTTCAAGATTGTCTCATGTGTGTCTACTATCATCTCGCAACCTGGCGTTTGCAAAGCTATTAGCCCAAATAATTTGATTAAGGGCACAATTCCCAAATTATCCTACAAAGGCTATTCGCCTTGATAATGCTAAAGAATTCTCATCTCAAGCTTTTGATGATTATTGTCGATCAGTTGGGATAAAAGTTGAACATCATGTAGCTTATGTTCATACTCAAAATTGCTTTGTAGAGTCATTTATTAAACGCATGCAATTGATAGCAAGACCACTACTTATGAAAATAAAATTGTCACTATTGTTTGGGCCATGTTATCTTGCATGCAGCATCACTTATCCGTCTCAGACCGACACATTATAATAAATATTCCCTGTCACAATTAGTTTTTGGTCATGAACCAAATATTACCCATCTACGAATTTTTGGATGTGTTGTATATGTGCCAGTAGCACCACCACATCGCAGTAAGATAGGACCACGGAGAAGGATATGAATATATATTGGGTTTGAACCACCCTCTATTATTCGCTATCTTGAACCATTGACAGGACATTTATTTACTGCTCGATTTGCAGATTGTCAGTTTGATGAAACAAATTTCCCACAATTAGGGGGGAGAAAAAAAGGAAATCAAAAGAAAAATTGTGTGAAAAGTTTTATCATTATCTCATTTTGATCCACGTACCTCTATATGTAATTAGGAGGTCCAGAAGATCATCCATTTATAAAATATAGCAAATCAAATACCAGACGCGTTTACTGATTTGAAAAGGATAACTAAGTCACATATCCCTGCATAGAATATGCCTATCCGTATTGATATCCCAGCAGGACCATCTATTAGCATGAGAGCTAGTAAACCTAAAGTATGCCTGAAGCGTGGTAGGTCTTTGGGTTCTAAGGATCGAAATCATAGAAAAAGAAAATCGACAAATGATCAAAATGATACTATGAAGGGATCCCCTAAAGAGACCCAAGATATGATTAGTTCTGAGATTCCTAAAGAAATCAATGAAGTCTCAGGATCCCCTAAAGAGACCCAAAATCTGATTAGTTCTGAGATTCCTGAAGAAATCAATGAACCCGAGACTCAAGTGAGTGATGAACTTTTAATAAGTTCTACCAGTGATGGGATTAATTTAAATCGATCTGAAATAGTGGTGGATAATATTTTTGCATATAATTTTGCACTTAATATTATGCAAGATAGTGAGGATCTTGAACCCCGGTCTATCAAAGAATGTTGACAAAGACCTGATTGGCCAAAAATGGCAAGAGGCAATTCCATCAGAATTGAACGCACTTGCTAAAGGAGAGGTCTTTGGATCAGTAGTCCAGACGCCTGCTGGCATAAAATCAGTTGGTTATAAATGATTTTTTGTGCAAAAAATGATTGATAAAAATGAAAGTGAAAGATACAAAGCTCGCCTTGTTGCACAAGGATTCTTACAACAACCTAGAGTCGATTTTGATGAAATATATTCACCTGTTATAGATTCCATAACATTTCGATATCTCATCAGTTTAGCACTATATGAAAAGCTTGAAATACTTCTAATGGATGTAGTTACAGTTTATCTGTACGGTTCACTTGATAGTGAAATTTATATGAAAATCCCTAGAGGATTTAAAATACATGAAGCAAATTCAAAATCTCAGGAAATATATTCAATCAGATTACAA